TCTGCCAGTCACTGCCCTGACTCTTCCCCCCACATCAGATCCCAGGTGTGGAGGTGGAAGCATCTTAGAAATGTGTCTCTGTAAACTTTCATTAAAATAATAAAATTTAAAAAGTGACTGATGGGACATTTTAGGACATAAAGAGCTCAAGGTTAGATTTTGAAATGGCAGAGAGTTGGACAGTGAATAGGGTTGATAGAGAATTAATTGATGCCTTTGAGCTGTGGTGCTGGTGAAGAGTGTTGAATATACCGTGGACTGCTAGGAGAACAAACAGGTTTGTCCTGGAGAAGGTGAAGTGGGAATGCTCCTTGGAGTCAAGGATTCTGAAGCTTCGTCTGACATACTTTGGGCATGTTACAAGGAGGGACTGGTCCTTGGAGAGGGACATCATGTTTGGCAGAGTGGAGGGGCTGTGAAGGAGAGAAAGACCTTCGATGAGATGGTGGGAATAAGTGCGTTTGAGATGGCTAGGTTGGCACAGAATAGAACAGCATTTAGAGCTCTTGTACATAGGTTCACTATGAGTCGCAAGTGACTCAGTGGCACATAACAACTTACTTCCTTTTAAGAATGCTGTAAGAAATGTTCAAAATCCCTAGCTCTAAGAGAGATGCAAATCAAAACAACTATGAGATATCATCTCACCTCAGGAAAAATTGCAAATTTTAACAGAACAGCAAGTAACAAATGCTGTCAGTGTAAAATGGTGCTGCCACTGTGGAAGGCATTGTAGCGCTTTCTCAAAAAGTTGGAAATAGCATTTGACCCGGCATTTCCACTACTTGGAATATACCCCCTTGAATATAGAATATAATACTTGGAAACCATAACCGCCACCCAAGCAGATATGCACAACCATAGCCGCTGGGGCTGGCCCTCGAGGTGGAAAAAGCTGTCACTGTCTCCTCCCTGCTGGAAACAAGCACCATCACACACTAATTAGCATCTGTCTACACAAATCAGTCACTTGAGATCAAGGGAATGGTTAACCTTGGCTATTAGGTAACCAAAAAACAAAATCATTTCAAACAAGAAGAAGCAAATTTACTTTTTCATGAAAGCCAAATAGTGAGGCCTATTCCCACTTGCCAGTGCTCACATGCACAACCATGTTTATCGCAGCTTTGTTTACAATAGCAAGGAGTTGGAAACAACCTAAGTGCCCATCATCAAACGAATGGATAGAGAAGCTGAGGTATATTCACACAATGGAATACTATGGTGCATTGAAAAATAAGGAACTCATGAAATAGTATACACAATGGGTGACCCTGCAGGACATTATGCTGAGTAAAATATCTCAGTCACAAAAGGACAAATACTGCATAGTGCCGCTGTTGTAAAACAGGGTTGATATAGGGGTTTGGGGGGGAAACTAAGAAAGATGGGATGAATTATGTATACTGCATTGAAACAGATGTGAGAGAGAACTGTTTAAAAGGTATATTTGAATAGCTATTATTGTCATGACAGGCATCCAGAACTAAGGCTCCATGGTGGAGTGGACTTGGGGGGAGGGATTGTATTACAATAAACGAATTTCTCTTACTTTTCCAATGCCTCTTCGTCTCTTATCTGGGCTGGAATTCCTTGTGCCCACCCTCAAGTCTCCCTTCCGCCCAGGAGCACGCCGGAAATGCTGGGTACCTTGGAAAAACGCCTCTTCGTCTCTTATCTGGGCTGGAATTCCTTGTGCCCACCCTCAAGTCTCCCTTCCGCCCAGGAGCACGCCGGAAATGCTGGGTACCTTGGAAAAACGCCTCTTCGTCTCTTATCTGGGCTGGAATTCCTTGTGCCCGCCCTCAAGTCTCCCTTCCGCCCAGGAGCATGCCGGAAATGCTGGACCAATTGGCAGCGTCAGGATGGATGACGAAGAGATTGAGAGTGTTCACAGCTTCAGTTTGCTCGGCTCCACAGTCAACACTCTTGGTACCAGCAGTCAGGAAATCAAAAAGCGTATCGCGATGGGAAAGTCTGCTGTTAGGGGCCTCTCAAAGGTACTCAGGAGCAACAGTGTCTCTATAGAGACTAAGGTGCGCCTGATAAAGGCCATGGTCTTTGCAATCGCTTGTTATGCATCAGAGAGTTGGACAATGACTAGGGAGGACAGAAGGAGAGTGGATGCTTTTGAGCTGTGGTGCTGGAGAAGGGTACTGAATGTACCATGGACTGCCAGGAAAACAAACAGATTCATCTTGGAGAGGATTAAACCAAGCTACTCCTTGGAGGCAAGGATTCTGGGGCTTCGTCTGACATACTTTGGACATGTTGCCAGGAGGGGACGGGTCCTTGGAGAGGGACATCATACTTGGGAGGGTGGAGGGACAGCGCAGTAGGGGAAGACCCTCTATGAGATGGATTGATTCAGTGACTGGGGTAATCGGGATGGGTGTGTCAGAGGCGGTGCGGTTGGCACAGGATAGAGCAGGGTTTAGGGCTGTTGTGCATAGGGTCGCTATGAGTCAGAAACGACTCGACGGCACATAACAACAACAACAACTTACTTTTCAAAGAGAAGAATGAACTACGGGGGAGGGGTGGGCAGGGAGAAAAGTGCAACAATGAATGAATGGAAATTCAAAATATCTGTAAATTTTCATTAAAAATAATATAATATTTTACAAAAGAATGCTTTAAAGCCTCTTAATTTATAGATGAATTTGGAAGTGTTTTTCAGGCCATAGTAATACAATTAATTAATAATGTATTTCAAGTCTTTATCTCCTCTTGAGAGTCCCTAAAGGTAAAGAGATAAAACTGTCTGCTATTTAAATTACCACCTAGTATTTATTTTTTATTCCTGGAGAAGAGTTATAAAATTTGGTTTTTATTTAGTTATGTTAACTTTTAAGTGTAATTTATGTAGTAATGAAAAGTTACTGTAACGTACACTAAAATTTTTTGCTTCTGTTTTTAATAAACTTTAGAGTAGGTCTGTTCAGATAATTTATAACACCACAGGTTAATTTACAAGACTAGAACTGAGACTAGAGAATGTTGTTCTTTGGTGGGTGTGGTCTGTTTGGATCTGGCTAATAGTTACCTGTGTGTACAAGAGAGTGCCCGTGTCTGCTCCTGCAGAATCCTCACAGCTCTGCTGGGCTTGAGCTCCTCACTGCTGCCACACGGAGGGTCTCTCCCTTTGTCCTTGAGCCTCTGCTTTACCAAGCATGATGTCTTTCTCCAGGCATTGGATTCTTTTGATGAGCTTGCCGTCCTCACCGCTAGGAGCATTCTAGCTGTATCTTATTCTTCTATTTTAGTTTCTGGTATATTCAGTATTCTTCTCCAACACCACAATTCAAAAGCTTAGTTCTTTGTCTTGAATTTTAGGTCTTCCTCATTCATTGTCCAACTTGCACAGGCATGGGAGATGATGGCAAATTCCACTGTGTTGGTATAGTGTTGGGCTGCTAACCAAAGGTTGGCAGTCCAGACCTCCCACACTTCCACAGGGGGACGTAGAGCTAGAAAAGATTAGCGTCATTTAAATGTAGTTGTTTTTGAGAGTCTAAAAACAAGTAATGATTGAAGATTCTCAGTCACAATGGTTAGCAGTGACTATAGATTTTTAAAATCTATTAACCACCGACTGTTCAACAACAGTTGTTTAGTTTAATACAGAACAATTCAAGTTCATTCCTTGCCAGTGTTTCTGTTACCTGTTGAACTTTCTATACTTCCCTATGAAAGCAAGGACAATATGGCTTTTGCAAAATTCATGCTTGAAAGGCAAGTACTGTTTGCTTCTTAAATGCATTATATAAGTTTTAGTGGCTCCATTGTGAAAATTAGTTTGGAGCCATGCTGAAACCACCTAACCTTGGTCTAACCAGTTTGCAAATTTCGACTTTGTAGTTTGTGGCTATCAGCCTCTTGAGTGACCCTTTAGTCTTCCATTTGCTGGGGTTTCTTTTTGTTTTTCTTATTCGGAACTGAAAAGAAGAAATAGATATCTTTGTTAGATGATTTAACTGAGATTGCTTAAAACCCTAGCAGTGTTGTGGTTTAATTATGTATCTTAATTAGAAAAAGAAATGAAAATCAAAGTTGTTTAGGTAATACTCAACAGTAAAATAACCCATTGCTGTCAAATTGAAACCTGCTCATAGCTGATCCTCCAGCTGGTTTTCATAGACTGACAGTCACATGAGAGGAGATTGCCCATCTTTCTC